TATATATATATATATATATATATATATGTATATGTATATACATATATATATATATATATATATATATATATATATATATATATATATATATATATATATATATATATATATATATACCTTTATACGGATGTATACGTATATAAGTTATTACTTATATATACCTATATATACCTTTATGTATTATATATATGTATAGATGTTATCATTTGTATTTACATAAATATACGTACATTTATGTATATATACATATACAAGTATATATACGTCTATACATTTATACATATAAATATACGTATATATACATATATAGGTATATATAAGCATGTGTTTATATTTACATACACACTCTTTGACTCTTTGGTGATTAAGCACTTGTAGAGCCATCTATATGTAAATACAACAAATAAACTTATGTTACAGTGGGCAAGCCTTTCGTGCCGATTGGGTTAATTTAGGCAGCTCTAACACAGATGTGAAAAATGCAGATTTTTATACCGAGGATAAAATATGAAATGTTGTTACTAGATCTGCTCAAACTCAATTAAAAGTTTCTAATCCTGTTATGCCTGGAATTACATTTGACATAACTACGCAGGATCTGATTGATGATTAAAATACCTGCCCTACTCTTGAGCATACAAGGAATAAAATTAAGTAAATAAGCTGTAATCATCATAGCGTAAACTATTAGATCCACAATAACTTGATTTATAGGATATGCATTAAGAGCAAAAATGATTATAAAGTTGGGATGAAACAACTAATAGTTCCAACGAAGTTCAGATCAACTGTTCTTGCAGTGACTCGCTAGCAGCAGGTCATTCTTCACATAAAAACAATTCAGAGAATCTTTTTTTTTTTTTTTTTTTTTTTTTGGGGGGGGGGGGGGGTCAGATGCTGGGGCAGACATTAAAAGCTATTGTAGGTCTTGCCATATTCGACAAAAGTTTACTCCTAAAGGGAAAGTAAAGAAGATCCCTTTAGTATCAATGTGGTATAACATATGTGTTATTCAATACCAAGTGAAAGTAACCCAGGAAAGTCTCACCCAGATGTACACTACATGGCTGTCAACCCTAACCATTTGTTTGTACGCCGTTTCGCAGCCTATTGACTTATCAGGCGAACTTGACACGAGTAATAGCTTTTGACATAGCTCAGGACCTGGGCTCAGGCCCAGACTCAGGAAAACGCGAAAAACAAAGTATTGTTGATAGTGTAGCCGTAACTTTACCATAGGAATATGTTCATTGGACAAGAAAATAACCAATGAAGAAGAGTGTATGGGAAAAGAACCAATGAAGGGGAGAGAAAGATATGAGAGCCAGGCTGAGCAGACCCCAAACTAGGTGCACCTGAACCTGTAATTCGGTGAGTTACTCGAACATTACTTAGACAGATCTCCGAAGTTCTAACTTGACAATAATCAATCCCAAGAATTGGAGACCTGACACAGTAGTGGCAATACAATATAATTGAGATTTGAGAAGATCTAGCTTCGCCTAGGCCTTCCATATATGGCCCGGTCAGTATCAGCTATTTATGGCAGTCTCATTATGTTCTTTGACACTGAATGCTTACTATGGTGGTGGGATTGCCAGCATAATCTCTTTACCGGCCCGGCGTCTGTTGTGGGCGGTCCCTGTCTCAGAAATTTTGTGCTCAGAACTCTGTGAGTAGTGTACCATGATTCATTCAGCTCGCCATAATGCATGCAATACGTGTCTGTATAGTTAATTGTCTCTATGATCTGCCAGGCGCAATGGTAACCTTGTCCGATTCTGTGAAGAATGACTTCGGTACCTCTGTTGATTGCTTCAGAGAGTGCCAGTGACTCATAGCTTGTGGCGTCTGAGTACCATCTGGCCGAGGGGGAGGATTTCGTTTTCTCCCTGTAAAGCTGCGGGAGGAAGGCACGAGCTGTGGTAGTAAACTTCATCCTTAAGATTATTCGGCTCGGTTGTATGATCATGGGATTTGGAGGCATACCCCTGCCAATGTCGGCTAGTCTGTCAGCAAGCTCGTTCCCTCTGATGCCATTATGGCTGGGGACCCAGTTAATGATTATTCTTCTACCCTGAGCAAGAATCCTCTGCAGTATGGTAAGCACAGTGGTCAGGAGGTAGATGTTGTCTTTGGGTGAACTGTGTTGAAGACAGTCAATGGCTGCCCTGGAGTCTGTATGTATGACTACTATGTCTGTATGTATGACCTTCCCTAAGGACTCCCATGATCGCAACTGCCTCTGCCTGTAGGGAGGAGGCATTGTCTGTTACTCTCATGGATTTTGTGGCATCCCTTGCTGGAAAGTCGGCGCCCGTAGTGTGGCTTAAGGGATCGACTGATCCATCCATGAAGTTTATTCTACTCGGAAGAGTGACGGCTGCAATGACCCTCTCGGCTTCTGCCATTAGACTAGGCATGTGGTATTGATTCTTCCTCCTTGACAAGCTCATGACAGAGAACTCTATCAAGGTTTGTACCCACAACGGGGTTTCGATAAAGTCAGGGTCTATGCCCTTGACAAGTAGTTGTTCTTTGAGCTGATAGCATATCAACACCCAGGCTGTGTGAGACAGCCAGGAGTTGTTCGCACAGAGCTCATGATCTTGTTCTAGACATCTGAGTATTTATTGGCTTGTGTTCCTTGGAGCCTGCAT